ATTAGGGAAAATCATCCTTTACCCACAATGGATCAACTACTCCCAAAGTTTAGAATAGCACGTGTTTTTACAAAACTTGATATTAAAGACGCATTCCATCAGGTTGAGATAAGTGAAGATTCTAGAGATATTACAACATTCATCACGGGACGGGGCCTTTATCGTTACAAAAGATTAATGTTCGGAATATCTTGTGCACCGGAACATTTTCAAAAAATTTTAGAAAGAATTCTTTTACCATGTGATGGTGTTGTAAATTTTATAGATGATATAGTAGTGTACGGCAAGGATGATTCCGAACATAATACTAGGCTTACGAAGGTCCTTAATGTTTTCAAAGAGAAGAATATTCTTCTAAACCAGGATAAGTGCGTCTTTAATTTATTTATTTATTTATACACTTTATACAAAACATGTAAAGGTGGACTTAATGCCTTAGGCATTGTCTAACAGTCGACCTTTGGGTGATTGAGAGATGAGAGTGGCAGGTGACAAAAGAATAAATAACAAAATTTTATCAATTTACATTACTTAGATACCATATATAAAATATACAACGAAAAATAACAATATCATTATATAAATAAATATATATATAATATATATATATATATATATATATACATACATAAATACAAGTTATGAAAGATTTGAAATCGCCAATTTTTTGAGAAGGTGCTCACGCAATCTTGATTTAAATGACAAACGACTGGTTGCCATCCTAATCTCCGTGGGTAGTGCATTCCATAGCATTACAGACTGAATAAAGAAAGAAGAGTGAAGAAAGTCAGTGTGATGACTTATACATTGAAGATGACGATTATTGGAAGAACGAAGATATTTAGTATGGTTTGCACTGGTGTATTGAAAATAAGAAGATAGATAGCTAGGGGAAAGAGGAGAGACAAGAAAGGAGTATAAAGTGGTGAGAGCCCTTTGCTCCCTGCGCTGGCGTATGGGCAACCACTTTAATTGCAGCCGATGTGCAGAAACATGATCATATTTGCGCAGGTTGAAAACAAATCGAATGCAGTTATTCAGAAGTCGATCAAGCTTATTGAGGAGATCTGCATTCAGGTCGTAATAACAAACATCACCATAGTCAATAATTGGAAATATAAGAGATTGCACAAGCGCTGCCTTTACAAAGGATGGGAGAAAATTTTTAAGGCGATATAGAGACCGCAGCGATCCTGTGACCTTTTTGCACACGTTGGTAACCTGCGTACGCCAGCTGAGGGTGCTGTCAATGTGCAGACCGAGATCCTTAACATCGCTACTAAACGGTATGACAGCATTATCAAAAATTACAGGTGGTAGCGTGCTATTGCCAATCTTACCTAGCATACGGGAACTGCCGATAACTATCGCCTGGCATTTGCTAGGATTAACAGCTATCCCAAACCTATCGGACCAGTTCTTAATGGCCTGCAGATCGACATTAAGCTTGTCAACCGCACCAGACAGCTGCTCTCTGCTAGCTTGACAGTATAATTGCAAGTCATCAGCATACAGATGATACGGACATTGAAGTTCTGTAGTAAGCATATTAATAAACAATGAAAATAGAAGAGGGGAAAGTATGCCGCCTTGAGGGACGCCAGTTTCCAACGTGCACCAGCATGATGAATTATCACCAACCTGTACCCGTTGCTTTCGTCCCTGAAGATAGGAAGAAAACCATTGTAGACTATCATCGGAGACCATAAGGTGGGACAGGATGGCTAGGAGGACATCGTGACTGACCATGTTGAAGGCGTTGGAAAAATCAACTAACACCAGCACGGTGATCTTAGTGTCATCCAGACCAAGCCTCACATCGCCAGTCACTTTGAGGAGAGCGGTTGTGGTACTGTGTCCTGGTCTAAAACCAGACTGGAAAGGACTTAATAGGGAGTTTTGGAATATAAAATGCGAGAGTTGCTTATGAACACAAGCCTCAAGCACTTTAGATAGGAATGGAAGGATCGAAATTGGGCGGAAGTGGGTGGGTAGAGTAGGATTTGGGACCTTAGGAAGTGGCCAATTAATGTTAAGGCTATAAAGTTTTTAGGCCATGAATTATCCCCTGATGGTATCAAGCCTTTAGATAAATATAGAAAAGTAGTAGACAATTTTAGAGAACCCATTTGTATTGAAGAAGTACAAAGTTTCTTGGGACTTATAAATTATGTAAACAAATGGATTCCCGACCTGGCCACTAAATCAGAACCCCTGAGAAATCTCCTTACCTTAAAGCTAGGTAAAAATGCAAATATTGCTCCTTACTGGGGACAAAACCAAGCTAAATCGTTTTTAGAATTAAAAAAATCTTTGAGCAATATTCACACACTCGGGTACTACGACCCAAATGATAAAACAATCGTAATGGCAGATGCCAGCCCTGTAGGGTTAGGTGCAGTTCTCATTCAGTCTGACAGTAATGGACCACGCGTAATTGCTTATGGCAATAAAAGCCTTACCGAAGTGGAAAAACGCTATTGTCAAACCGAAAAAGAGGCACTGGCGTTAGTTTGGGCAGTAGAACATTTTAGAATGTATCTTTATGGGAAAGAATCCTTTGATTTGATAACCGATCACAAGCCGCTGGAGGTTATATTTGGTAATAAATCAAAACCATGCGCTAGGATTGAGCGTTGGGTGCTGCGCCTTCAAGCGTACAATTTCAAGGTATTATTTAGACCAGGGAAGACTAACATTGCGGATTGTTTATCTCGTTTATGCGCCGTAGATAACCCCCAGCCGTTTGAAAATGGTTACCATATAAATCAAATTGTCCAGTACGCGAGACCTTGCGCAATAGGTATGGATTTACTTATAAATGCATCTTTACGTGATCATGAAATAAAACTAGTTAAAGAAGCATTGTCATCGGACAACTGGGACCCACTAATAAATAGTTACAGAATATTTCGAACAGAGCTCTGGATGCACGATGACCTTTTGCTGAGAGGTAATAAAATTGTTATCCCACTTGAATTACGTGGTCAAGTACTGGAGGCAGCTCATGAGGGACATCCTGGCATTGTTGCGATGAAGGCACGACTGCGCACTAAGGTATGGTGGCCAAAAATAGACGTTGATGCCGAAAGACTAGTCAAAAGCTGTAAGGGTTGTACTTTGGTGTCAGCGCCTAACCCTCCACTGCCAATGAAACGCCGTGAGCTGCCATCACAAGCCTGGATTGACGTTGCAATTGACTTTCTAGGTCCGCTACCGAGTGGGCATTATTTATTTGTAATAGTTGATTACTTCAGTAGATACAAAGAGATTAAGGCTATGAAAACAATAACATCTGCTGAAACTATCAAAATATTAAAAGAGATTTTTTCCAGATTAGGAACACCGTCAAGTATAACCGCTGATAACGGAAAACAATTTGTCAGCGCGGATTTTAGGGCATTTTGTCGTGAACTTGGTATAAATATACATTTTACAACTCCCTACTCCCCTCAACAAAACGGAGAAGTTGAGCGGCAGAACAGGGACATTTTAAAACGTCTTCGCATAAGCCAAAGTCAAAAGTCAAATTGGCAAGAAGACTTATTATTGTATATATCTATGTACAATAGTACCCCCCACTCGACCACAGGCAAAACTCCGGCAGAACTATTTTTCGGTAGACAGTTTAGAGACAAAATACCATCTCTTATAAATATAGAAAATCCTTTTACATCAGAAGTAAAGGATAAAGACAAAATAATGAAAGAAAAGGGGAAGGGATATGAGGATAGGAAAAGGAAAGCAGAAGATATGGATATAGGTATTGGTGAAAAAGTGTATATAAAAAATATGACTAAAGAAAACAAACTTGTAACAAACTTTGACCCAACGCCTCATACTGTCATAAATAGTAAGGGGCCAGAGTATAGCTTAAGGAATGATAATACTGGGCAGGAGTTAAAAAGAAACATCATCCATCTTAAAAGAGTAGAAGGCAAGTGGGAAGTTTGTTCAGAAAATAAAACCAATTTAGTTGTTAGTGATCAGAGCGAGGGTAGCGACTGAATTTAAAATAACGATGTATATAATTAAATTAATAGCTACATAATATTTTACAGGAGGCGTTAAACATAAATCAAGTAGCAAACCGGATATGATACACCGTTTCATTCAATTTATAAATGTGTCTGAATAATCATTTTGATTTTGTTATTCTGATTAAATAGGTATCATGTTGTCAAAGAAAAACTGATTACTGTAACTATTAAGTAACAAGTATAATACGTATATAATGATTATTATGCCCTAGGTTAGTGTTGATTATAATTTTGTTTAATTCATAGGTTTCTGCCTAAATAAAGAATTGTGATTTGGAAAAAAGGGAAAGGTGTGACGTATTAGTTAAATAAAGATATAGTCGTGAACGCCGGACGCACAGGGTGGGGGTGGCACTTGCTAGCTGTCGGCCGTGCTGTGCGGACGTGCGATCACGACCACTAAACTACTGAGTGTTATTACTTTAAACCACCCTAACACTTACCCCTAGTGACAGAGGACGTCACAACGTTAATATTGATTGCGTAGTGGTGGAAGAAGACTGTGTGACAAAGCGAGTCGAAGCTAAATGTCCAATTATCTACATTTGAAAAGAAAAGTGTCGTTGAATTTGATTAAAATGTATGCAATGTTAATTACTTAATATTTTTATACAATTAAGTAATAGAGTTAAAACAAAGCCATTCATATTACATGCATGTTCAGTTACAAATGTATGTAACTGGGATGACAATGTGTGATATTTTTATTTTGAGCAGTAGGTATATGGTAAATAATGCTCATTTATGTTAACTTCATATAAGTACTTTGATGTGTTACAATAACGATATTGTTTAACGTTATATAAAATGCTAATAAGTTGTTTAAAATTATACTCCTTGTTATATTTGTTCTATTAGAAAATTGATAGTAAGTTTTTAATTTTTGTTTAATAAGTGCAGAACTTTAGGAAATAAAAATCAGTTATTTTTTTAAGTGTGTTTTTATTTACTTGCCCTTTTTTACATAATTGTGCCGCGATCGGTTTTCTTTACCCTTTCCACCAACTTCGCACGTTCCGAATAATCGAAGTACATGCAAACTAATCATAACAATAAATTATTATAAAATTTTTTGTTTGAAAACTTTTCTAAAAGTTAGTTTCTCACAGCTCCTCAAATAATAGGCGACTGTCCTACAAACTCTAAGTCCGGAATTTGACTTAGGTATATTATGTAGATTGCGCAGGCAGCGCCGGTTCCTTCTACGCTCTACACGTTCTTCACGTAAAAGAGCTTCGATTTAGAGCATTTTTGTAGCCATTTCAAACAATTTTCATACAAAATCCACACTTAACGAAAATGAAAAGATAATACTTTTGGTTTCGTCAATTTGAAGTAAAAAATCCGAAAAATCGTCTGTCAAATTCAAAAGTTCGTTCGGAGCTAATAAGGATTAGAGTAGGTTCTAAATGTCAAACGTCTTCGTTCGAACGAAATTTCGGAACGAATTGAAACCGTGGTAGGAAACACGCGAAGTTTCGATCGAAAGTTCGTTTTTCGTAGAATAAGAGTAGACCCCCTGATTCTGGTCGGGCGGCGAGCTGCCCTTACTCGCAAACCTAACCATTCTTGTGGCAACTCCGTTTATATGATAATACCTTCATCTTATAACTCACGACCTGAATGAGGAATTTGGTCAAAGCAAACGGCTAGTCGTACAGCTCCTTAGTAGAATGGCTTATTATATTATTTGGCTGTGATTAGTTCTTAATGTTTTTTATTGTTTCTTCTTGATTGTTTGTACATGGTCGTGCAACTGAAAATTGAGGCATCCCTGTTAAGTTATACAATACTTTTGGTGGGCCGGCCTCGCCCTTCCCTTAGCGTCTAAGATAGATACTAAACAGTATTATGACATAAAATATTAGATGGTTAAAAAAAAAACAAAGAAATCAACACACCATAAAGATATCATGCAGACACAAAATTAATAAATTATTATAAATGTGCTTTTCAATTTAATTTTTTTTTTCTATACGTAATTATGTTTATATAAAACAAAACAGTATATAATTATGAATGTGTGTGTTTGTGTGAGGATGTGGTTTTGTGTATGAAGGTTCGTGTCGGTGCTTTTTTTTATTTGCTTCACCATCATCAGCCTGATTTCGTCCACTGCTGGACATAGAAAGATTGCACAGAGAAAGATAAAAACGCTAATAAAAAATACATTGAAAAAAGAGGAAAAAGCACTATCTATAGTTTTATGTACAAAAAGTTCACATACATTTTTGAATCGGATAGAAATAAACAATATATGTATTATTTTTTGTAAATTTCCTACCAATTTCGTAGAATTAAAAAAAATATTTTTCTCAATGTAGTTTTTATTCAGATATTCCTCGAAAAAAATATATTTATTCTATTATCACTACCTAGTATAAAACAAAGTAGCTTTCTCTGTCCCTATATCCCTATGCACAAATTAATCTTTGAATTACGCAACGGATTTTGATGCGGTTTTTTCAATAGACCGAGTGATTGAAGAGGAAGGAACATATGAATGTTTAATTACTTACACAAGGTTTATAGTTGACATAGTTTTATCTGTATAAATGATAAACAATTATTCCTAAACACAAAACAGTTTAAAAAGAAACAGAAATGACAGATACCAATGACAATAATTGCGCTATTTAAAAACGTTACAAAACTTACCCTCCTTAAGAAATAACAAAAATATTAACTCCATCATCACACTCAAAACGCGTTCTAACAATGTATGTACAAAGTCACAGTAACTACGATAACAATGATAACATGATCACATAACACAGCACAACAACCAGTGTTCTCTCTCCAAGGACTGAACAACTTCCTTTCGCAGCCTCTGTCAGACCTGGAAGTAAATATCTTTTTTATATTTATCCATTTTTTTTAAAAAAAAACGTTGCATCTCAATAGGATTTTCTCCTGTGTCGTGGGTGCGTTTACAAACATACAAATTTACATACACATCACCCGTGTGATGGACCCGCGACACGTTGCACGGCAGCCAGTTGCCAAGCTACCGCGCCAACCGTGCAGTCAATTATAAGCCATTAATTCATCAAAGTTCAAGCAAACGCTGGTGGCCGTGCATATATTGTTCTTATATTGTGTCTCGAACTACCACGAATAATCGGTCAAAATAGTTTTTCCTGCGATTGGGTTATCCTTTACGTCGTGGATGTGCTTACCTACATACGTAAAATTTGACTTAATATTCACACCTGGAACAATAATTTGTAGACCACACAAACAGTTGTTCTCAGCGGGAATTGAACCCGCGACACATTGCATAAAAGCCAGTTCCCCGGTTTTCAAAATTATCCATTATATATATTCTTCTTCACTCAAAAAAATAGAATATCTTTTTTTAAGGGGGGAAATCATCCGAAACCTTTTGCCATCCCCGGTGGGAGAAAGGGTGGTCAGACTCTTACTGACTATAAACTACCCGGTTCTCTTTAAAGCTGGCACACGAAACCTCGGCCGGGAACATTAGAACCCTTGTTTTTTGTGCCATTAGTACGTTTATAAACATACGTACAAATTGATTATGCACTTCACATCCAGAAAAAGAAGAACTATTTGTAAATCCCACAGAGCGTTGTACGTTTCACCTGTGCCTGTGTCTCAGTCATTGCATCGACTAAACAACTAATTACTTTGCTATTTGGCATTAAGAAATCAACAAACTGGATAAATAAAAAAAATCTTTCACTATCTGTTACCAAAACATTCCCGAAAAGAAATAGAAAGAAAACAACTACTTACCGCCAGCGACACTGATTTGGTTGCCGAAATCTTCAGCATACGAGTTCAGTTTTATTTCTGTGAACAAATTATTTTATTTCGTTACCAAATTCATGTACTTTAATATTAAAAGTACAGTATAGATGCCCATGTCAATAAACTTCATATAATTGTACCAAGTACTAAATTGAGGACATAATTCTCAACAGTCAGCAGGGGCTGAACAAGAGAAAAAATACTTATAATTCCCAATTATAAGTTTGAAATATGCCTTTAGCAAGCGGAGTGCTCCATGCTCAAACCTTCTCCGTGTGTGAAGAGACCTTTTCTCAGCCCTGGGTGCTTAAAGGATGATAATGTTTAAGTGATGATTAAATTTAAACTCACCATAAAGTCTAAGAGTGCCCTCACTCTTCCCTAAAGAGTTGGTACTAACACAGTTATAAGTACCGATGTCATTTCTTGAGAACTGCCTGATGGTTAGCCACATCGTGACTTGATAAGACATTTTCTCTTCTGTTATTGTGTACTTAGGCCTGTAACAATAAATTTTATATAAAAACTAGCTGACGCTCTCCGAAAACCCCTAAATATCAAATTTCAGTGAAATCGTTAGGGTCGCTCCGAGATCACATGCTTTTTCAAGCAATCAACGCCACCTGCCGGGCTGATTTGTAAATTAAAAACACCCAGGTCTTCACTCTAACGCATACAATTATTACATTAAATTATACAATTATTATATTAAAAGAATCATTTACATTGGTCAAGCCGTTTAGGAGGAGTTTAATGACATACACACGTACATATATAAAGATAACAAATAACAAAATCTTTTATTATTCAAAGTCTGTTTGTTCTCGTCAGTTTTTAAGAATTAAGCTGGTAAGTGTGTTTTTAAAAAATGAAATAGTACAACAATAACTTTTTTGGGTCGAACAGTTGAAGATCTTTAAGGGCAATTTAGTAGCTGAAGAGCTACAGAACAATGGCGCCTACGCACACATTAAAGCCTAGAGCAATTGGTTTCATTGGAACTTACTATTATAAAAAAACAACCTGATTTCTGAGTAAACAATATTTGGAAGCGCCATCTTAACTTTTGGAAGACTTCTAGATTTCCAATTCTAGGAATTTTGAATGGTAAGATGTTACTGAAAATTTTCCTTGTCCTTTCTAGTGAGAATAAGTCAGATATCCCAAGAATAAATACAATAAGTTTAGCTCAAGTATCTTAGTATCGAATATTTCTTTTTTGAAATCAAGTATCACTACATGGTATAAAACAAAGTCGCTTCTCTGTGCCTTTATCTCTGTGTACGCTAAAATCTTTAAAACTGTGCAACGGATTTGATGAAGTTTTTATTTAGTAGATACAGTGATTTGTATAACAACATCCATTTAACAGTGAAGAAATTTAGTGACATCATTGCACCCAAGAAAAGCTAGAGCGGGTCGTAATTTATAAACAGAATCATAATACGAACGAAAATAAAAATAGACTTTAATGACAGCATTTTAGCTACCGATAAGTACCACTTTGCCTTATAAATATTTACGTACAAATTTTCAACCGAATGACTGAATGTCGATACACAAAATGTAGTGTAGGTACGTACGACTATGAGTGGGTTGTGTAAATATGCCTCGGGGTGTATTTATAAAACAAAACAAGGGCCCAAATTTCGAAGAGGTTTGTTAAGTTTATTTCTTTGATGTATTCGAGTACGTGTGAATTTATTGTTTTTGGTTTTACAGGATTATTACGATGGAATGAAGTGAAATTATTTGCAAACTGGTAAGATTTAGGATGACATTTGTTCATTTATAGAATCAGGCGTTAGGTACTTTGCGGAAATCCATGACATTAAATGTTAGGTTGGGTGGGACCTTTGCTGCATGTGCGTATGCATGATTGCATAGGACTGGGATTGCATCCTGCAACAAGCCTGGATTTTTGTCGCGGAATAAATACTAAATATTTTTCCTAACCTTTAATGGCATTTGTTTCTTTATACATGTTTAGACAGATATATTCAAGCCAATACGACCAAGTTAAAAAAACTTGCTCGGGTTTGAATAGCTTCTTTTGATAGGGGATCATTATATAGTTGCTCCCACCCTGGATGGGGTGAGAGGTATTAATCAGACTCCTCCTGACTAAAAACCATTCCTTTCCTTTTTCTGCTTTGGGCCAGGGTCGCAGTACATTATTTAGTTTGCAAGCAGCTAACTTTTACTCTCGCGATAATCATCCAGTATTATTTGTTCTGAAAAAGTGCGCCAAAAGTTACGAGTACAACCTTTTTCGTCTCCTTATTTAACACAGGCCATTGATGCAATATTTAAATAAAAACACAGAAAGTTCTTTTATACTGTGTCTAAGTAGTTTCAAAAGCATCCACAGCCATTCCATTGCTACGAACAACATCACATCGATCCAGTACGGGATATTTTGTAAGCTTATTTTCATCAGTAATACGAGACGAAATAAATTATTATATTTCATCACAAATACCTAATGGTCCAGGCTCCTTAAACTGCTAATTTCAGGAACTTTAGTCACAAGGAAAATTTAAAATTAAATCTGTTTACACTTTCCTATGATTTTCGTTTAACAAAAACTCATTGGTAAGCTTTCTCCATTCCTGGTTATCAACTGAACCAAATAATTGAATGCACCCACGCTTGTGATCTTTCATGTTGACACTTTACGAACATGGAAATATGAATAGATTATTTATGTAGAATGCTTGTTTTTGTGAAACAAAACTCGTGGGTAAGACTAGACTAGATTTAATTTTTGAATGTTTCTGTACTACGTTACATTACGTTTATACATGATTCTTATTTTCTGTTCTTTGGTGATTGTCTTAGTTTTGTGGAAATATGTACAGTCAGGGGTCAAAAATTTACCAATTTTAAAATTAGGTACTAATATTTCTTTGTAGTAAAAGTTCAATGGTTCCCAGCCAGTTCAAAAATTTAGATTCTATGCTATAAATCATAAATAAATGCAGTACTCAACCATGTACTCTATTCCACAAAGATATATTGGTCATTTTAAAATTGGTGGAGTTTTTTGTTTTTAGAGTAGAGTGCAATTGCATTTTTGACCCCTAACTGTACATTAAAAGTGGATTCTACTGTTAATCGTACATGTGGTACATCCTTAGTTTATCAATATTTTTGTCACGCTTCAGTTATTCATAAAATATTTTACTGTATGCATTTTATACTTTTGTTGTTATTTAAATCATTAATACTTAGTATTAAACAGAAAATTGTACACTTAAAGACCCATATTGAAACTCCTATTACAACTTCGTGCAAAGGGGCGATAAGACTACCCATTGTACACTCAAACTTTTCTTTAGTATATCGTATATAATAAACTATATTCATATAAAAAATGCATCAATAATCAAGCTTTTCTTTATAGTATGTGGTCTATATCTATAACTATAACTAACTTTAAGTGTAGGAGAGCCATGCTTAGGCACGAATGGGTCGGCTCGACCGGAGTGATACCACGGCCTCACAGAATACCGGCGTGAAACAACCACAGCGTTGTGTTTCGCTGTTTGAGTGTCGCCGTCTGCTCGTATGCCTATTACATAAAAACTATATGTAACTTACCCATCGAGTAACATTTCCCCTCTGTTCTTGATCCAATAGTTGATAGTGTTCGGATGTGCTTCCACGTAGCATTTTAATTTGACGTCTGTCCCCAGTGGAGCACCCAACAACTGATTTGGCACTTTCACTGTTGGTGCAACTGTTGACAATAAAAAAAATACTAGAAAATCATCTAAACAATAATAATATGATAACAATATCTGAGTGAGGTTACCGGAGGCCCAATGCCCCCAATCCCTCCTCAATCCCTAAATCTCCAAATCCCTAATCCCTAAAAAGGTCGGCAACGCACTCGTAACTCCTCCGTTGCGGGTATCCATGGGCGGCGCTGATTGCTTACCAGGTAATCCGTCTGCTCGATTGCCGACTCATTACACAAAAAAAAATCTCTATCACTTTTCGTCGTGGTGGCCCGGAGGTTAAGCAAGCCGCTTCTCATACATGAGGGTGTGTTTTTGAAACCTGGCAAGTACTAATGTGATTTTTTCCGACGTGTATGTACTTTCTATGATTATTATTCAGACACGCGATGAAGGAAATCATCGTGAGGAAACCTGGACTTTATTATTATAAGTTGGTAATCGCCAATCTGCTTCGAGCAAGCGTGGTGATTATTGTTCAAACCTTCTCCGTGTGAGCAGATGCTTTCGCTCAGTTGTGAGCAAAAGCCGTTATACGCTGCTGATGACTAAAATTATTAAAAAATCATTCTAGTGTAAGATTTTATTAGAATTTTATTAAGATCATTAAAAAAATATAGTTTTGTCTCCTCTAATAACGGCTGATGCATGGTGAGATGGCTGGGCAACTAGCTGGCGTGCAACGTGTCGCGGGTTCGATTCCCGCACGGAACAACTCTTTGTGTGATCCACGAATTGTTGTTCCAGGTCTGGGTGTTATGTGCATGTGAAATTGTATGTTTATAAATGCACCCACGACACAGGAGAAAATCCCAGAGTCGGGCAACGTTTTTCTTTAAAAAAAATAACATTTTGACATTTCAATATAAGCCATAAAACAACAGTCGACGGATATTAACAAATCTTCTATACAAAACTTGTCACTATCATTATCATACCTATGAAAAAAAAACACACAAAATCTGTGTTCACTTTATTCCAACCTTAGAGTAACGTTCTCGCTATAGAGACTGATGAGGGCACATCGAGATCGTTATTGAGGTAACAGCTGTTCACATCGAGAAATTGGGAGGAATCCCAAAGGGATTCCAAGAATGTCCGATATTTTGAGAATATTTTCTTGACATTTACGGCATCCTGGTTTAAGTAAAAAAAAAACAAGATGATTGCCTTCTATTTAAAAACTTATTATAAAAAGTATTTTAATTTATTATTCCCCGTATTTCAAAATTTAAATTTAGAATCATTTCTAATAACTAATTGACTTCTACTTTGCTCGTAGACTTTGGCTTTTAATTACCTCAATAGTAGTTAATTCAATATCAGAACGGTAAGAGTATTTACTTTAATTAGAATAAAAAAAAAATATACCTGCTTAAATTATCCTTGAAAAAGGTTGTTTACCCCAGACTTCAACCTCACATTTTTGTAAGCACAGCCTCGAGAAAAAAGACCAAAAAGTTTTTAACGTCTGCAACTAAAAGATAATTCTCAGGGGCCTGTCTTTTCATTATACGTCATTAAAATTCATAGAATATGATTAAATCTCTAGTTTTATACTTGTTTGAAATTTTAATACAACTTCTCTAAGCCGTTGTTGACTGCAGTTAATCTTATGCCGTCAAAAGTTCTTTCAATTTACAGTTTCAAGATTATTAATATATTTCTTGTTGCTGTAAATGTGTTGAAAGTTTTACTTTAGTTTGTAATATTCCTCTTTTATTTTGAGACGACTTTCTGAATATGGGTCTGATTTTGTTCTTATGGTCCACTGTGGTATTAAGATAATACTATACTATATTATAGGCCTTGGACGCGTTTTACATACACATTACACCTAAGAATGAAACACAAAGAATTTTTGCAAGCAGGAATGGAACCTATCGTACGTCACATAGTTTGCCAAACCACTGTGCCAACCATACAGACAATTAAACTTTAACAACGTAGGGCATTATGCACGCTGTTCATAATTATAAGCCCACTTAATTAATAAGTAGTTGATAAAACATAAAAAAGTTCCGTTATAAAATTCAAAACTCCCTGTGCTGTTTTTTTTTATTTAATAGGTCGGCAAACGAGCAGACGGATTACCTGATGGTAAGCAATCAGCGCCGCCCATGGACACTCGCAACGGAGGAGTTACGAGTGCGTTGCCGACCTTTTAGGGATTAGGGATTTAGGAGGGATTGGGGGAGGGGAAGGATTGGGCCTCCGGTAACCTCACTCACACGGCGAAACACAACGCTGTGGTTATTTCACGCCGGTTTTCTGTGAGGCCGTGGTATCACTCCGGTCGAGCCGACCCATTCGTGCCGAAGCATGGCTCTCCCACACTTGAAACAACAGGTTTACGAGCTAATCTGGAAAAGTTTCCAGCCCATTTCTTGGGCACAAATGGGCCGGCTCGACCGGACTGACACCACTGGCTTACAGAAAAACAGGGTGAAACAACCACAGCATTGTGTTTCGCCGAGTGAGTGAGGTTGTCAGTGGCCCTATCCTTGACTACCCAAATCCTCTTATCCCCATAACGCCGACAACGAGCTTCTAAATCATCTGGTGTTGCGGGCGTCCATGGGTGGCCATCTGGTAATACATTTGCTCATTTGCCAGTATATCAAATAAAAAAAAAAACTATCAAGCATCAGTCATCAGTGGCATACAGTCAGTATCAGTAACCATTAAAAACTTCAAAGCACAAAACAACGCCAAACAAAATAAACAATATTTACAGCAATTACAATAACGAGGCACCTGACAATATGACTTCTGATCTTCAAAAGAACTTCACAGAACTATAAAGCTATATATAGTGTATCAAAACAATCGTTTCAAAATTGAAAGATAAATCTTGCATCTATTTCGAAGCTGCTATCCGTTGTGAAGTCACGTATCCTTGTTACTGCTACGTAGAGAAACTTGTATCATTTTGGATGCCATCCAAATTCGTGACGGTTGGTCCCGTGAATGGATTATATTATTCAAAGTGACAAACAAAGAAAGGGTGTTTTATATTGGTTTTTGGAGGTAAACTATGGTTGATTTCTGGGTAACTGGTTAGACTTTGGGGGGTGTCTTGGTTCCTATTGTATCTATAAGGTGACGACGGATACTTGTTACATATCAAATGACTGACAAGGCCCTTTTACTGGTACCGATCTGATTTCATCATCATGATTATCCTATAAGTGCTCTCACTCGGAGAAGGTATGAGTGATCAATAACATTATTTTAAGGCGAATTGCTGATTAAAAATGTATACTTTATTAGAAGTAGCCTATTACTAGAAAAGTTATCTTAGTACTTGTCACGTTTCGAATCTGCATCCTCGTCTAAATATTTAAAAAAAGAACTACAAAATAAAAAACGAAGTGCTTTATAAGAATCTACGCTACAAGTTTCTGATCAAAATGGTTATTTGTTGAAATTGTCAATTCAAAATAAAATTCAACGACACCGTATGTAAGAAACGAAACCGAAGTTATTTCACTGAGTACTTCAAAAGTCTGTTAGCAGTTAATCTGATTTTACTAAGAAAATACGAACCCTGATCATATCCTAAAGCGAAATATATTTGATTTAATATTCAGAAAACAATCTTTGGGAATGGTCGTCACTCGTTCTACGAGTCTCAAGAAGCTATCGAGGCTTTTTGATGTAATCTAAATAGATTTAAATAAAAATGACTTATGCCTTGCCTAAACAATAACAAAAAATCTTGCATACAATTTCACAAAAAAATTTAACGCGTCATACTAAGGAATCATTTTGGCTATAAGGATACAGCTTGGCTGGGCAGCATAAAATAAATTTGGTCGGGTATTCTCGGCAAAGATACCGCAAAGCCTGAAGACAAAAGTCTTCAATGATTGCGTTCTACCGGTGACATACGGAGCCGAGACGCAGACACTGACAGTGTGACTGATCTACTAATTTAAAGTCGTGCAGTGAGCTATGGAAAGGGCTATGCTAGGAGTTTTTTGAAGGATCGAATTCGAAACGAGATGATCCGATAGATACCGACATATAACGTTGTCGACATAGCCCAAAAGATTAGGAAATTGAAGTGGCTGTGGACAAGTCACATTTATCGAAGAACCGATGACGATCGATGACCGTTAAAGTAGACGTGTTCTGGAGAGGAGACATGTATTGTAGGGCGCCCTCCAGCTAGGTGGACTGACGATATCTATAAGGTGGGTGGCAGTAGTTGAGCAGTGAATGGAAACAGACTGAAGGTGATAATGATGATGATGAAGGTCAAGATAATATATACATATTATATTTTCTTTGTAAATTAAACAAAAATAATGAATGATACAATATGTGCTTACAGTTAACATTAAGTATGATCCGCTTGCTGACAGCGGGCGGCACGTCATTGGCTGCGATGCACAGGAACGCGCCCATCTGTCGCCGGTCCACGCGCCACAGCGGTAATGAACTGCCCACGTAGCTCTCCACTAGACAAAAGAAAAAAATAAATTAGTAAAATGATCTGATTCAGCAAATATTTGTTGTTGCGGGTGAAATCGCTGTAATGTTAACAAAGTTTAGGCATTAAGAGTCTAAGTTGGCGGGAAAAATCATTCACTGATGTTCCACCCGTAAAAAAGTTATGTAGGTATTCCTAAACTACTGCAAACCAGTGGCTTTTTAGTTTATCCGAAATTACTTTTTATCTTAATATAAGTCTAGGACTTATGTCGTTATTTTGTTTAATGACATATTTCTTTGAAATTCTTCATAACAAGGTTTAAAACATTATGTAGACTTGCCTGTTAATAAGTGTTTGAAGTTGCTTAAGTAAAACTATCTGTATCAACAACAAAATAACAATCAAAGCATTTCAACCAAGTACTCATAAACTAGAAAAGTAGGTAAGTACTGATTACAATCATGTAGGTGCACTACAAAGTCGTTGATCATAATACCTAGTATTACATAACAGCAGGAAATACCTATATTCTGTAATGGAGGCTTACCGTTTATAACCTTGCGGAAGTCGTAACAGTTAACTAGGGGAAATAACTGCTACAGTAATGAAAACATTTTAAAATAAATCTTAAACTAGTTCCAAGTGCGAGCTGCAGTTATAAAGGACCAAGTTTGATTTAAGTTTGCGTTTTGTTTATTTATGGCTAAGTTTTGAATTTTGTTAATTCAATTTGGGTTTTTGAAAGTATGTTACTCTTATTTTGAGTAATGTAGGAAAAACTATAGTTTGATAGTGAAATCTTTCATTTTTCAAATAAAAAAAAATCAATGGTTTTTTGGCCCTAAGCTCCGAAATATTTTCAGTACTTGGTTTAGTTTCAAATGGTCCTCAGAGGTATGGAATACCTTAAATATGGAATATATTACATTATGATCATACTTTGTACATGTATTTATATAAAAACTAGATATAAAAACCACAATTCCCCTTCATTTTAAAACAAAAAAGTTAGTTAAACAACCGTACTCAGAAACTATAATGATTACTAAAACTATTCCTTCCTTAGAAACAATTGCAAAGGTCCGAGTTAAGTAAACATTAATGACTGAGTAAAACAATAAGTTTCTTTACTTTAGTCTTCTGTGTAGTGTTCCTAGCATATCAATGCTACAACACTCGGCAACAAAAGACTTGTCACATATTACCACATACGTAAGAGTCAAAGTCCTGTATCCGCACAACCTCTCTGCATGCCTGTCGGTTATCGACTTACACTACAGAAATAACTGCACTCTATATATTAACGAAGTATTCCACAAATCACTATAGATGGCGTTAATATAAAATACACAAGCACTACGATGTCAAATGACACCGCTTTCTGAATGTCGATCGTCTTGCAGATATCCTACATACTATTAAAAGACCTGATAATCAATATTAGAGTAATTATCACTACCATAGCCTTCGTTACACCAATAACTTAAGTAGGTTACACGCAAGCATTTAACGTGGACTCTCTTAGCTCGTGAATGCAGTAAAACGGAGCAACTTTGAATTGGAGTGGATAATTATGGGTTCTGTATAAACGTTTTTATGGGTTACAGTAGGATCTGGAATGATGGTAAGCAATCGTCGCTGCTATGGACATCTGTAGCACAACAGAAGTTGTAGGTGCGTTGCCGGCCTTTTTGGGTAATTTTGGGATTGGACGATGTGAGAATGTAAGAAAGGTTTGGACCTCCAGTACCCCCACTCATACGGCTAAACGCAAAGCAATTATTATTGTGGTTTCACGCAGTTTTTATTTTGTGAGGCAGTCGTACCACACCATTTAAGTCGGCTTATTCGTGCCGAAGCATGGGTCTCTCACACTTAAAATCCAACCCATTTTATTATAATAAGAATATTGTGGAAATAACTGGTTTTCTATGAGCCGCAATATTCGTGCTTTCAAATTGATAAGTCAACTCTTGAATGTAATTGCGATCCGATTTTTTATATCAAAATTTCTGTTCATAAAATACGAAGCTAAGACTACAGTCTTTAGCGCCTATTTTACGAAAAATAATACGATTCTTATAGTGAAACGATTTCAGTAGGCGCATATGAACGTTGGGAATAAACGTTTTTTTTTTGTATTTAAAAAACTCGACTGGTTCCTTATTCGAAAAATAATAACCTGAAAACAATACTTTTCAAATTTCGATTTATAGTACTTAAAAAGGCATGGCCAATAATAAATATTAACAACAGTGTAATTTAAAATTCATATAAAGAACTCTAAAATACAGTAACATGTTTTATAACTATGCATTATTTATTTAAAGCCATTTCTTTTTGAAATAACGATAAAAGAAATTTATACGTTGACAAGAATGCAGTATAAAAGTGGTTGCAGTTCAGACGTTAAGAAAAAGCATTTATTATTGTTTTGTGTTAATGTTACTTGTAGAAAATATGTTATTAATGGAATGCCTTGTTCGTTTAATGTGTTTTCTGAACATGGGAACATTTATACAGTACTTTTTTCAATTCTATTTTTATTAAATCAAGCTGTGATAATTCTTTGAATTTGACAAACTGGTTTCATATAAAGACTTTACTCGTAATATCAGGTGTTACTTTAAATTGGTTGTTTGTCTCCTAAACTCCTAAAAAAATACACTCGTTCCTTAAATGTTACAAATATTAATATGGGTCGTGAGTGTGAAAAATAAATTAATAAAAAAGACCAAAACATAACAGAGCAGTCTTGTTATACCACGGCCTCACAGAAAACCGGCGTGAAATAACCACAGACTTGTGTTTCGCCGTGTCGGTGAGGTTACCGGAGGCCGGATTACATAAAAAAATCAAAAACTTTAAAATCATCACAAACAATACAAATTTGTGAAAACAATCTGAGAACCTTTTTACATTTATTTTCATTTCATCATCAGCCTATAACTTGGCCACTGCTGGGCGAAAACAGCCCTTCTGTTTTCACAAAGGGAACTTTATCTTTACAATATTTTAATGTTGTGTCTATTTTTTAATTTATTTATTACACAGTCAAGTGTTAAAAAAATACTTAACTATAACTTGTAATAAAAAACTAACAAACGACGGTTTTCCAAGTGGATTTATCACAATAGTCCATCTATGTAAATCTAGATATCAGTCTATAACACATTGTGCTATTTAAATTCAACGAGCATTCAGACGATAAAAAGATTTTTTTGAAAAGAATAGAATAGATTTCCAATAATAGATAAGGGTTGAATTTATATTTGAATTTTTTACTTTATTTGTGTGGCTAAAGGTCTTTTTTTGAATGGTTATAGGCCTTTTAAAGGATTTAGGTGATTTGAATAGTGAATAGTTTAGCATGAAATAATAATGTTCGTTACTTACTTGTATAACTCAGATAATAAAAAACCTGCAGTTCATTATAACAGAATTCACTATTGTTAGATTGCTTTTAACAGAACTCATTAAAGATCGAATCAGAACTCATTGAACATATCTAAAAATAAAAACCGTAATCAAATCTTCCTTGAAACACAAGCAAAGCCACAAAGAGTAGCTAGTCTCTCATTAATTCATGGATTTCAGAGTGGCACACGAGAAATATTGACTTAACCTTCTTAGAAGTTCCCAGTAAATGGAAAGCAAACATTTTAACGTCTCAAATAAGTTTCTCATAAAATATAAAGTGATGTTAACGATAGGAAATGACTTAATATACTGTTAGGTGCCTCGCGTGACTATGGCATATAATACCCGAAATTTGGCAGTACCATATCGAAACACCGCCATTAGTTCAACCTTTCATGTTGCGATTGAATTATGAATTAGTGTGCAAAGTACTTTTAAGTTGGTTGCTAAATATGTATGAATACTTGAAGGTATAGTTTTGATTAACATAATTTATATGGATTCCGTTCTTTACACAAGGATTATAATCTAATGGCTGCTTAAAACGGCGTTCTTTTTCAATAAAAGATTTCAATTTAAATATAAAAATATGACATATGTGAAACTTCTTTGTGAATTAAAACACCAGTAGATTAATAAAAACAAAAATTAATCGAATTCAAAAATGGAATATTGACCTTAAACTCCTTCCAAATAAAAACCCATAACAACAACAGTACGTCTGTTGACGTAAACCTATCATAACTGTATTGATCAAGTTCATAACTTCATCAAGAAAAACTCCTAAGAACTGAACAACAATTGAACACCACTTATTTTCAAGACTTTGGTCCTTAGAGTACAATATGGATCAAGGAAAATGCTAAGCTCTTTATTTTGACGTATCATTTTAACCGACGCCTTAACTTTCTTTTATCACCTCGTATAATCGCCCCCAAGGACCATAAACTATGTTCAACCCTTTTATAAGTCTCTTTTCCTTGAAGTTTTTGACATAGTGAGCGGGGAGTTTGGTCTTTTCGTACCGATTTATCGTCGTATAGCTCAAATTGAATTACAATCATTATTTTTTTGTATTTTGGGGTACGGTAAGGGAATATTAAAGGACTCTAAATTTGAAAACAATATGTCAATTTATTTGTGAGTTTCTATTTATAAAATTGTGAAACAAATAAAAAAATAACTGGATAAAAACGAAACATTTTATGTGAACATCCCCATTTTCCGTTCGATTTATATCTTTACATAGTCACAATGTTTTACTATTATGGGATTTAATACTGATTCAGACAGATTATGAAGTTAAGCTGCATACTATTATATAACTATATGTTTATACAACTGGGATATAGTCGTGTTTCATCTAATAGTGACAGAGGCCTCTTGAAATAGAATTCCGATTAAAATCATGACGTATGATGGAATTTTACCTATTCTCAGTAGGCAAAGTCGTAGGCAGCCTATAAATAAAACCTTTCTCACTTACAAATTCCCAATTAATCAATTATTACAGAAACTGACGTCATTACTCGGACTTGTAGACAGGTATATATGTATACACATGCGAAATACGTATGTATGTATGTATGTATGTACGTATGTATGTAGAAACAATTTATTTCATATTCTGACGCATTCTCCTAAAAACTATGACGACAAAAGTCCTGATGTCACTATTCCAAATAATAATTAAAATGTTCACTTTAATTATTATTTTGTAAGCGGTTCACCCTGTATGTAAATTGTTCAGAAAATAGTCTTTACGTTAAATGTGACGTGATAGTAATATTTTTGAAATATTATTTATAATTTAAAACTTTAGACGTCAAAGTTAAAAGTAGATAATGATTGTAGTGTCGTCAGAACCCATTTTTAAAGCGATAAGTACTCAGCTACTTACACCTAATATTGATGTCTATATTATAAGCAACTTGCGGCCCGAAACGTGCTTAGCAATGTAATAAATAAAGAACTAAATAATCCATATAAAACCTAAACATTTGGTTTGCATAGGTTAGTCCAATTTAGAGGTATCAAAGTGTTATTATTTTTATTTATATGTCTCTTTATAAAACAAGTATAGTATCTACATAGATTCTAAACTGCCTTAATAGTATGGTGACCTGTACTTGTAACTTTTCTGATAACATGTTTATTTACATAAAATTTTTGATTGACAAAATTAAATTTAAAGGCATGGTACATAAGGCGGACTGAATGCCGAAGATTGACTCTCCTAAACCTGCTTGTCCCAACATTATGTTGTTTAAAAAAAACCTACAAAACATTATTGCGAAATGAATCACAAAAGCCTAACGCTACACAAAACAATAATCTACACTCTGATAATGACATTAAATTCTATTTTCGTCTGACATTTTGATATTAAATACTGTTCAAATTTGTTTGTTTATTGAATAATTTCATGTAGTTTGGTTTCAGTAATGTGTTGGGTATTACCTATTACAATTTGTGCACTGTTAACAACCTGTTAACAGAATCAAACTTTAGAGCTGTTTATTGACGAACCAATTTGGTCGCCATTGTTTAGTTTTCATTATTACGTGCAGGTTAATTTGGAATTATGGTGTCAAATTGTTTTGTTATAAACAGCGGAATAAGTAGTGCAAATTTATAACGGGTGAGGTTTTCGTGCAATTTTGAGTCGTGTGTATTAAGTGTTAAGATACAATACTTAGGGGTTTTATACATTTTTCAAATAAAATTGTAATGGGATTAAAGTTTCGTTGTCATATGTATTTTCTATAGTGACTTATATACCGACATTCATCGCGTTCTATCAGCCTTACGCGTTGACGCGTTCAAACAAGCAAACTTTAAACAAAAAAACTTTGTAATATTAAAATACCGATACATGTTAGGTAAGTATGATGCATGTTATTTGACATTTCAATACAAAAGATAGCGAAACCACAGTATGAGGTTAGTTTATTAAGGTAGATATGTATTGTATTTATACATAGAGAAACATTATAAATATGTCTGGCTAAGCCGGCACCTCCGCTCATTTTCCACTTTGAATTAAGAACAAGGGCATGCCACAGAGCTGCGAATGTCATAAACCTACCTCAGAACTGGTCCTTTGTTCATGAAAGATTTAGCGGACTAGATTAGTAAAATCGAATATATGAACACACGAATTTGCATATTAAAGTGTAGAAAGAAAGTAATAAAATCCTTTGCGTCTTTTTTTTGCATCGTTCCATTATTGCTTCTTAGGGAAGTGTGAATTTTACTTACACTTGAGAGACGCAATATATTAATTTAAAAAGTGTTAAGATAAAATGCACATAAATATGACCCCGGTAAAAAACAAGGAAAAAAGAAGGGACATATTCAACATAGAAGGACCAATATATTTCCTAATTCAGTCTCATTTAATTAGATTAAGTTCAAATAACTTTTAATGTTCCTCTGAATGTTCGAAATAAAATACTAACCATTAACATAATATACTATCATAATTGGGTCAACTTAAGTGAAAAATAACTTATTTTAACTATCCAACATAATATTAATTATTCAGAATTATTCCTATTTCATTAACTGACTTCACTACATCCTTTATTTATCAATTAAGTGACTAATTAAAAAAATAAGTGCGCCTATTTGTCGCAATAATATAATAACGTCAGAAGTCTGTATCTCAAACAAAATCAATAGAAAAGTATAATTTTTGTCATTTTGATAAACGTATTAAATTTGACAAGTATAAACACACCGTATTTCGCACGGTAAATAACACATTCAAGAGTTATCGGTATATCTCCAAGCACGCAACTCTACGTATCTAAATATCCTTGCTAAAATGTACCTCCGTACCTATCTAGTATTTTAGGTAGGCACCGAGCCATGTAATGGGAGCAACACGTTTCCTTTACCTACCAATTTGTTCCGCCACCTGTGCCCGGGTATCCCATACATGTCGCGCTTAATCCTAAGATTAAACTATAAGATGTAAACAAAGTCATCTTTACACAAGCGCTTCTATGTCGAACAGATTCTCTTAGTAAGGGTTTTGTGCTACAGTCTGTGATTAAGGAATTTGTACTGTTAGTCAGAGGAGATTTAGTTTCTAATTAGGTATTAATAGTGTTGAAAAATATAAGCTTTTTGTTTTTAAAGTCATGTAAGTAGTTTAGTATGATAAAAACTTATTAACTTTACCTATTATACCCTCATTAATACGTCCTATGGTATAAATGTTTATTTGTTTTAGATTAGAATGGAATGTAATTTAAACGAACAGTTAGGTGGTAAGCAATCAGTACCATCCAAGCACACATTTGTTTTTTTTGTTTGTGAGGGGAAAATCATCCAATGCCTTCTCCCGCCCGGGGCCGGGAATGTCAGACTTTTACTGACTAAAAACCCTCCTGTTCTTTCTCCTGCTCTGGGCCGAGGTCGCGGTGCCTCACTGCGCTTACCCCGCAACCCCGGCTGAATCCAAGCACCCATGCAACGAGAAAAAAGTTAACAGTGCACTGTACGTATATGCGCATACTTTTAGGGTTTATTGATTTAAGAAGTTGGGATACGGGATTAAGCTCATTATGTGTGGCCTTTAGGTGAGTTGTTATTGATGTTGTCGATGTGAGAATTAAAGGAACACAAGCGTATAAATTCGTCTAAATAAGGTTTACTTATAGTCCTCTTATAATATCCATCCTTAAACAAGTTCATCAATAAAATCAAGTACTAAAACTCATAAAAACAAAAGTCTTACCTTTGTCAAAATCCCTGGACTGGGGTTTCTTCAGCAGCACAGGCTCGTGGTCCTCTCTTCTCCAAGTGATCTTTGGAGGAGGATGACCAGTCGCCTTACAGGTTAACGTCGCGTTCTCCAACTCTTGAACTGAGACGTCTCCTGAAGTTTCATCACTCATGATGTCTGGTGGAACTGTGGACAAAGAATTGTTCAGGTTACTAACTTGTTTTCGACAATGTACATATTTTGTTGATTAAAGTGTTATTCATAAATTGTGCCTGCTAAGTTATGCCCGTTTTACTTATGGGTAGGTTGAGTTAATTTTGTAAGAAATTGTAAGCAGCATGATATTCGTAGTATTTAAAAAAAACTCATAATGTTGCCTAAAAAAATGATTGATATTTTGGGGCTCTATATGGTACTGAACCTAGTTACGTAAAGCTAGACTTGTCAGTCTTTTTAAATTTGAATTCGCCAATCCTTGAGCAAACTTGGTGAATAATGCCCAAATCTCTCCGTGTGAGAAGAGGCTTTTGCTTAGCAGAGGGCACTTATAGGCTGATGATGTGATGAAGTTGAACTCTAAGTAACACATAAGCTGAACAACTCTTGAAGATTAAGGAGGACTGTAGCTATCTAGCTAAATGTTTTTAGCAAACACTACTAAGTCTAGTTGGAAAAATGTCCAGAAGAAAGATTGTCCTGAATAATGTATCGTATACAACGAAACAGAACAGGTACTGTATAATTTATTTGGGACATATCTCGTTTTTACTGCCTCGTTAATCTAGTGGTCGACTACTGAACACGATACCTATCTGCCAAGAATGTGTTTTGTTTTTAATGTGTCGTAGTTACATAGCTACTTCTATTTGTCGCAGTTACGTCTGTATTTGTACGTGCTTATTAAGAGACCTTAACGAGAAGCCCCTATGAAGTTGCAAAAGCTAATGACTAAATAATAAGTGTGGGAGAGCCATGCTTCGGCACGAATGGGTCGGCTCGACCGGAGTGAGACCACGGCCTCACAGAAAACCGTCGTGAAACAACCACAGCGTTGTGTTTCGCCGTATGAGTGAGGTTACCGGAGGCCCAATCCTTCCCCTCCCCCAATCCCTCCTCAATCCCTAATCCCGGCAACGCATGTCACGTCCATGGGCGGATTGCTTACCATCAGGTAATCCGTCTGCTCGTATCACATAAAAAAAAACTAAATGTTGTCCTTAAAAAACCAAATTTGCTGAACCATTTCAAATTAAAAAAACTCATCCACTTACTTTACTGTCTGCCGTAAGAAAATCTAAGTTGGGCGTTTATTATACTTATAAATAGGATCGTTACACCTACAGAACTTAAACATAAATAATGTGCGTTATTACCTTAAACAAAAACTGGACCTATAAAAACGAACGCACGATCCACCGCAAAAGGATGGCAATTTTTAACGCGAAAACTTTTTGTGCCACTGCCAGGGGTAAACCACGTCTGAGAGGGGGAGGAAAGGTGAAGAGAGGGGGGTGAAAAAACGTGAATTTTCACAATATTGTTGTGATTTATCGTGGCGCGAGCGTTCTAGAAACTTTCGGTGATTCAACCGTTTTCGTTCGACGCCAACGATTTGCATTTAACCGGGACTAACATTTTTAAGTTCGTTTTTTTCTATCTCAAGTTTTTATCGTGTTTAATAAAGTGTTTTTGGTTGAATTTAAGTTGATACTTTGTCTCTGTTATCGAGTCTAGACTATTTTCGTGGCCTACTCGCATTTTGATTTATATAATGTACTAGCGACCCAACCCAAACTAATACTAATAGAAGTCAACTCTTCAATTTTTTTTTTACTAGCCTATTTGTCCCACTGCTGGGCAAAGGCCTCCCCATCTCACTTCCACACCTCCCGATCCTTCGACCGTGTCCACCAGTCTCGACGATAGACGTCTAGATCGTCACGCCATCTTTTCCGGGGCCTACCCCACCTGCGGCTTCCATCCTGAGATGTCCACTGGATGGCAATCTTGGCCCATCTCTCCGGATGAATTTGGCTGACGTGTCCGGCCCAGTCCCATTTTAATTTTGCCGCCTTTTGGCCCACATCAGCGACTCCTGTTTTGGAACGTATCACGGTATTCCGTATGCGATCGGTCCGTTTTATGCCTAACAGGCTACGTTCCATTGCCCTTTGGCAAACCCGGAGCCTGGACTTCTAACACTCGATGAGAGATCAAGTTTGCGCACCGTAGGTTAGGACAGGCAAGATACACATGTTGACTAATTTTCGCTTGAGTGGAAGGGGAAGGTCCCCTTTCATGTATTGCTTTATGGACCAGTAGCTGAAAAGCTACTTAGGTATTCTTCCACTGTGTAGTGGAAGAATACCTAAGATGGCAAAACAAGAGTGTTCTTGTATTCCAAACATCACACCAGTCTTTCAACGTCTGTACACTTCAAAATGAAAATGTTTTCACACATAACAAGCTTTCATCTTGATAACATAAATCTCCTTTACACAAGCCTTTTTAAATATTTTATATATTATGTCCATTACCAACTAGCATATAAATTACTAAGGCGTGCAGAATATCCTTATTGAGTCACGCTACCCAGAATCAGGTCGGATTGATTAATTAAAAATATATTGAACAAAGTTTCTTTTTCCACCCATTTCATTATTAGAAAAAAGGAGCGATTTTTAAAAACTAATTAATGGTAGCTATGAATTATTCGTGATAATTTGGTTTCGAAATTAATGGAATTATTTATTCGGTTTCGTTAGTAGGTCAAGCTATTTTTAATTGTATTTTGTTTTTTAATGTCGTAGAAATAGTTTGTTGGTTGGTTACAAGCAGTCACTGAAAACGTCTCAATATTAAACTATTATAAACTTAAATTTATCATCGGTACAGATTTTTATATCTAATCTTTAAGATCTTTTTTTTTTAAATAAAAGCTTGGACACACTAGGATTTTCTCCTGTGTCGTGGGTGCGTTTACAAACATACAATTTCACATGCATATCACACCCAGACCCGGAACAACAATCTGTGGATCACACAAAGACTTGTTCCGTGCGGGAATCGAACCCGCGACACGTTGCGCGGCAGCCAGTTGCCCATCCACCGCGCCAACCGTGCCAACCGTGCAGTCGTATCTTTGGAATGATCTTTCGGCCGCGGTACAGAAACGAGTGTACTCCTTCTTTAAACAACGCAGGTTTATATCGCTCGTTTTCTTACACGCATATTTGGAACTGGAGAGTAATAACTACTGCAGATTTTCGAAGCTTAATCGTAGATATGTATTTTAAAAATAATTAATGATTAATCATTCAACGACATTCGATTTAATAGATAGCAAAATATAATTCTCTATCGTGATATATAAAACCTGACTCATTTTTAGTGTCATAGATGATAAAAAGTCAACTGTAACGATACACACATAAAGTTCTTTTTAAAGTAAAACCATTGATTTTACACTTATTTCTGTACCTGTCGTGTTGCAGTGACCGGTCAATAGCATGTTTTCGTATTCTGCACTATTTTTAAACCCTCACATTTATATTGTAGGACGACGGAAACGACTCATATGAAACAAAAGGCTTTATAGATTTATTTTAATGTTGCTAACTGTTTTTAATTCTTATTGCCTTCGTAGTAAAGTCCATAATATTAATCTCTTTATAGATACAGTAACTAATCCTATATTCGCTTTTATGTTTGGTTAAAAGAATATAATGTTAAAGCCTTGATAAATGAACTACCCAAAACAAACTATTTTCCACGAGATATTGGAATGTAGGGATTCAGGAAGTTAGAGATAGGGATTGGGCTTCTAGTATGACTCACATAACAAAACTCAACGAGAAAGCGCGGTATCACTAGTCTTCCAGATACTAATAATAGTACCCTCTATAATATTCATGCCAAAACATGGCTCTCCTATACTTTTCTGTCTCTCTTTTCGACAAACACTACAAAGCACAAAATAAAGTCTTCTTTAAACCTTCAAACAAAGCTTTCTCTGGCCCTATAATTCTGTGTATGTTTCAATCTTTAAAACTACACAACGGATTTTGATATGTTTATGATAATAGAAGAGGGAGGTCTATATTTATTTTATAACTAGTTACAGCCTTGGGTTTTCACCCGTTTCATGTTTTATAACCTACAGCTATCAGTAAAAGAATTTTCAAAATTCGACCAGCGGCTCCAAACATTACCCCCTACATAAAAACTTACAATTACAAATTTTACCTCTTTATAATATAAGCATGCATTTATAAATAATATTCAATCAATAGTGGAGCCATCTTGAAGCTTGATCGCTAGTTATTAGTAAACAGAGTACATATATTACTTAAATTCATACCACATTACTATCGATCGTAGCACAGAACATAAGTTCAGACGTGAGACACGTTTAAATTTTTCATTTAATCTAACCAATGACAGCTTTCCCTGTATTAAAAACTTAACGTTTCGTTAAAAACTTATTGAAACGTGAAGGGAATATAGGTAACATGCATTTGCAACCGCCAATCAAAATCCGACAGGGACGATCATCGTTTGATCAATGATTCGAGGTTTAAATTTTAAGTCACTCACCAGTATGGTGACTGTGTTTTATTATTTTGTAAGATATTTTTTTCTAGTGTTTATTTATTTTTCAAAAAATTTATTAAAAAAGTTAAGATTGTTGTATAATTTATTTTGTTTTAGACGGATTTTTGGTATGCTAGCAGCGACTTTCATGGATACCCGCAACAACGGTGGAATTACGAGTGCGTTGCCGTCCTGTTGAAAATTAGGATTTTGGAGATTTAGTGAGGATTGGGCCTTTTCCGCACGGCAAAACACAACGGTTGTTTCACGAGAACAGGTTTTTCGCGACGACGTGGTATCACTTCGGTCGACCTGCCCTTTCGTGCCGAAGCATGGCATCTCCCACAAATTAAATAACGATATAAAATATAAAATATTAAAAATAATACTAAGTATTTCAGATTGGCTTTTTGATTCAATATCTAGTTAGGAAACCATTAAGAGATGTAAAACAGAAGGCTTAAATTTTGAGGATTTGTCAAAATGGTGCTGATGAAATTTCCCTTTGTTCCATTTCATTAGGAATGCAATAAATAGACACTGAGCCTTTTTAATGAAACCCGCGTAGTGACATACTTTGACCCTTATAATTT